GCGAGTTTTATAACGAATATGTCCCGATCTTAGGTTTGTCATGATATTCGATCTTCCGTTTTTTTCACCGAGATAGTTTTCGCCATGATATTCGATCTTCGCGTTTCTTTTTTCCAAGCGATATTCGATTCTTCGGTTTTCCATATATTCGATCATTGCGTTTTTTTCACGATAATTCGATCTTAAGGTTCTTCCATGATAAATTCGATCTTCGCGATTTATTTTCACGATATTTCGATCTTAGGTTTTCCATGATATTCGATCTTTATCCGTTGTCTTTTCACGATATTCGATCTTCAGGTTTTCCATGATATTCGAGATCTTCCGTTCTTTTTTCACGATATTGATCTTAGGTTTTCCAAATGATATTCGATCCTTGTTTTCACGCGAGTATTCGATCTTAAGGTATTTTGCCCATGATCACTCTGCGATCTTACGTTTTTTCACGATATTCGATCTTAAGGTTTCATGATATTTCGATCTTCCGTTTTTTTCACGATAATTCGAATCTTAGGGTTTTCAATGATATTCGATCTTAACGCGTTTTTTTTTCAACGATATTCGATTCTTCCGTTTTTTTCAACGAATATTCGATCTTCGCCGTTTTTTTCACGATATTGCGATCTTAGGTTTTTCCCATGATATTCGATCTTCGACGTTGTTTTTTTTCACGATATTCGATCTTAGGTTTTCCATGGTATTCGAATTTCCGTTTTTTTCACGATAATTTCGATCTTAGGTTTTCCATGATATTCGATCTTCCGTTTTTTTTCACGATATTCGATCTTAGGTTTTCCATGATATTCGATCTTCCGTTTTTTTTTCACGATATTCGATTCTTTAGATATTCGATCTTTGATATTCGATCTTAGGTTTTCCATGAATATCGATCTTCCGTTTTTTTTTTCACGATATTCGATTCTTAGGTTTCCAAATGATATTCGATCTTCGTTTTTTTTCACGATATTCGATCTTAGGTTTTCCTATGATATTCGTCTTTCCGTTTTTTTTTCACGATATTCGATCTTAGGTTTTTCCATGAATATTCGATCTTCCGTTTTTTTCACGATATGATCGTTTTTTTCACGATTTGATTTAAGGTTTTCCATGATATTCGATTTCCGTTTTTTTTCACGATATTCGATCTTGGTTTTCCATGAATATTCGATCTTCCGTTTTTTTTCAACGATATTCGATCTTAGGTTTTCCATGATATTCGATTTTTTCCGTTTTTTTTTCACGATTATTTTCGATTCTTATCGATACGATTTCCGTTTTTTTCACGATATTCGATCTTAGGTTTTCCATGATATTTCGATCTTCGTTTTTTTCACGATATTCGATCTTAGGTTTTCCATGATATTCGATCTTCCGTTTTTTTCACGATATTCGATCTTAGGTTTTTCCATGATATTCGATCTTTCCGTTTTTTTTTTATTCGATCTTAGTTTTTCCATGATATTCGATCTCGTTTTTTTTCACGATATTCCGAGGTTTTTCCATGATATCTTCGATTTTCCGTCTTTTTTTCACGATATTCGATCTATGGTTTCCATGATATTCGATCTTCCGTTTTTTTCACGATATTCGATCTTAGGTTTTCCATGATATTCGATCTTCCGTTTTTTCACGATATTCGATCTTAGGTTTTCCATGATATTCGATCTTCGTTTTTTTTTCACGATATTCGATCTTAGGTTTTCCATGATATTTCGATTTCCGGTTTTTTTTCACGATATTCGATTCTTTTTTCCATGATAATTCGATCGTTTCCGCAGTGAACGATATTTGGACTTTTAGGGTTTTCCATGATATTCGATCTTCCGTTTTTTTTCACGATATTCGATCTTAGGTTTTCCATGATATTTCGATCTTCGCGTTTTTTTCACGATTATTCGATCTTAGGTTTTCCATGATATTCGATCTTCCGTTTTTTTTCACGATATTCGATCTTAAGGTTTTCCATGATATTCGTCTTCCGTTTTTTTTCACGATATTCGATCTTAGGTTTTCCATGATATTCGATATTCCGTTTTTTTTCACGATATTCGATCTTTCAGGTTATTCATGATTCGATCTTCCGTTTTTTTCACGATATTCGATCTTAGGTTTTCCATGATATTCGATCTTCCGTTTTTTTTTCACGATATTCGATTTTAGGTTTTCCATGATATTCGATCTTCCGTTTTTTTTCACGATATCGATCTTAGGTTTCCATGACTTTCGATATTTCCGTTTGTTTTTCCGATATTCGATCTTAGGTTTTCCATATATTCGATCTTCCGTTTTTTTCACGATATTCGATCTTAGGTTTTCCATGATATTCGATCTTTCCGTTTTTTTCACGATATTCGATCTTAGGTTTTCCATATGATATTCAATTTTACGTTTTTTTCACGATATTCGATTTTACGTTTTTTTCACGATATTCAATTTTACGTTTTTTTCACGATATTCGATTAGGTTTTCCATGATATTCGATCTTACCGTTTTTTTTCACGATATTTCGAATCTTAGGTTTTCATGATATTCGATCTTCCGTTTTTTTCACGATATTCGATCTTAGGTTTTCCATGATATTCGATCTTACCGTTTTTTTACGATATTCGATCTTAGGTTTTCCATGATTCATTCGATTTCCGTTTTTTTCACGATATTCGATCTTAGGTTTTCCATGATATATTTCGATCATTATTCCGTTTTTTTCACGATATTCGATCTTAGGTTTTTTTTTTTTTTCGCGATATTTAATTTTAACGGTTTTTTACGGTATTCGATCTTCCTTTTTTCACTATATTCAGTCACGTTTTTTTACGCATATTCGATCTCCATTTTTGCGCATGATAATTCAATTTCTCGTTTCTCATGATATTCAATGCCTTACGGAGCACTGTTGACTCTTGCTCGCTCGTCGCCATAACTTGACCTTGTTCTGAAGGCGCCCGGGAAAAGGTCGAGGGGGAAGACAGGCGTGACCTCTGTGATGTAAAGAGGAAAAAGTGAAGGAGATAAGAAGAGAGAGACGAAGAAGAGAGAGAATGAGAGGACTCATGTAAAGAGAAGAGAGAGGGAGAGGAGGGAGGAAGAAGGAGAGAGAGAGAGAGAGAGAGAGAGAGAGAGAACGAGAGAGAGAGAGAGGAGAGAGAGAGAGAGAGAGGAAGAGAGAGAGAGAGGAGAGAGGGGAGGGAGGGGGAGGGAGGGATGGAGGGAGGGAGGGAGGAGGGAGGGAGGAAGGGAGAGGGAGAGAGAGGAAGAGAGAGAGAGAGAGAGAGAGAGAGAGAGAGAGAGAGAGAGAGAGAGAGAGAGAGAGAAGAGAGAGAGAGAGAGAGAATGAGAGAGGGAAGGAGGGAGGGAGGAAGAAAGAGAGGGAGAGGGAAAGGGAAAGAGAGGGAGAGAGAGAGAGAGTAGGGAGAGAGTGTGTGTGTGTTTGCGTGTGTGATAAGTGTTTGTGTTCGTGTCTATGTGCGTGCGTGTGCGCTTGTGCGTGCGTGTGTGTGTCATGTTTATAAGTGCATTTTGTATCTATGCCTGTTTGTTCGCTCACATGTGTACATTCAAATCCGTATTCGTACATGCGTGTGTATGCATAACACGAAATAAAAGAAAAAATGTGAAAAAAACAGACCCTACTAACTCTAAAAACAAGGAATTAATAAATTAATAAATCAGATCACAGAGAGGGAGAGAAAACGGGTAAAGATGAAACGGAAAGAAGAGGAGAAAGAAGAAGTAGGAGAAGAAAAAGAAGAAGAGTAGGAGGAGGAGGCAGAGGGAAAATGAGAGAAAAGGAGAAAGAGGAAAAAGAAGAAGAGTAGGAGGAGGCAGATGGAAAAGGAGAGAGAAGGAGAAGAGGAGAAAGAAGAAGTAGAAGAAGAAAAAGAAGAAAGAAGTAGGACGAGGAGGCAGAGGAAAAAGGAGAGAGAAGACAAAAAAGGGAAGGGGGTAGGGGGGTAGGGAGCAGGTTGGGGAAGACCGAGGAGGGGGAAAAAGGGAGGGGGGGGGGGAGGGGGAGGGGGAACTAGCCATTAGACCGTGAGAGAAGGGCGAAGCGACGAGTAAAAAAGGGATAGGATGATGAAGGAGATAAAGAGAGGCGGAGAAGAAAGAGGAGGAAGACAGATGGAAGAGAGAATGAAGATAACCATATAAATATACATACCTAATGCATACATACATAAATAAACATTTCCATACACAAGTGCGAATGCNACATCCAAGGTCTATATAAGAACTTACATAGAACCTACAAACACCCCCACACACATCTGTCCGCGTTCTTATTTTGTCCATCAATGTGTAAAAAGTCAAGAAAGATGTATTTTTTACATGGATAACATCCGGCAAAAATTTTCAAAAGAAAAACGTCTATACGAAATCATCAGCGTTTGTTGAAATATGTGATTATATTTTATATGAGATTAACATTACTTGTTTTTTGTTGAATAATTTATCCGTGGCATACGCTGGCGTTATTTAAGCATGATCTTCCTCTAGACTTCAAAGAAAACATTAGTAGAATATTAAGAACAACTGACAAAAGATACATATTATCTTCAACTTCGGGAAATACTGTTGTTTTAATTTAAAAAGCTATCCCAGTCGCACAATAACTAAGGAAACATTTGGAAAATCGCGCTAATACGACGTTAATTTTTATAAACTTAAGACGGAAGAAGAGGAAGTAATTGCTATAAATACGTCACGTTTAGCACCTATAGTAATTCCGAGGTACGGGGGATGTTTAGCTATTATTTTTTAATACATAGATGGCGTCCTTGTCGCATATATATTTTTTGACATAGCATAGACAATGTGAATACGATAAAACAAATATCCCATGCATTTTTCTATCAGAAACACGTAGTCGATATAACCTAATACAATACTTTAAATATATTACCGATTTAAAGAGGTCCTTTAAATGATGAATATCAACGAAATAGTCACCAATAGATGGCTCTCTCCAACTATTAAATAAGTACCTGGCAACTCGACGTTATGCAAAAAGGTCCCAAGTGTCTTCTCCTGCCACCTGTCAGTGAGACTGTGTGATTCTTCCTTCCACGTCACGAATTTGTTTACTGTAAGCCGCTACTTTGTCATATCATGTAGGTCTATTGCTTTTTAAAGTAGTGTGGAGGCATTTTGTCATCGCGAACTATATTTAACGTAACGTAGGCTTTGGGTGAATGGCCAGTTTGATGCTGGGTGAATATATTGGGCATAGCATAATATAATTCTAGTACTAGGCCTACGTGGTATATATTAATCACTATCATTAATCATGTTAATTAGAATTCAGGTATTACATACGTGGTAAATATTAATAACATGTTAATTAGAATTCAGCTATTATATACGTGTAACAGTTGGCACTGCTAGCTCATTCCTTGTTCAGGTAGGTTATTGATAACAGAATAGGCAATGGTTTTAAGATTTTTTTTTTTTTTTCGTAATTAAACCTCTCTGTGGATTCCACTTGAATCTTGCTGTGATATGAAATTTAAAGATTAGTCTGTAGATCAGCCTAACAAAGGTGCAGTGTCAAACAACTTGTGAATCAAGGTGAACAGAACTTGAACTGGCGAAGGGGATATGAGTTGGGGACTAATGGCTGGTGTGCTAAAATTGTGGGCATAAGTTACTTATAGCAACGCGTGTAGATAGAGGGAAGCGTTTTTTATAATTTTTACGCATTTTTGTTTGCTATTCTTTTTTATGAGAAATCAGTATAGTATGGCTGCAATAAGTTACAACAAATTGAAGATGATATTCTTGTAGAGGACAAAAAGTAATCGCCGTGGATATTGTTCCGGCACCGGATTTTATAACATTTTGGCTATTCGTCCGGCATACATGCACACTAACTATTTGCGCGCAAAAACACACTCTCGATTGCGCATTAGCCTTGCATACAAACTTTAGCTCTATTTTGGTGTTGTTCATAGTTCATGGCTAAGGGTCGATCATGGATTCAAAGTTAGAACTGAATTTGCCAGTTTTGCTGATGTGAAGGACAGCTTGACCAAATTTCAAGAGAGCACTTTCGAACAGTTTTATGTCAAAGATTCAAGGACTGTTGCTGCAGCTTTGAAGCGTACACCGGATAAGAAAGTAAAGTCAGAGTTGTAGTACTCCTACTTAGTGTTTGCCTGCATCGGGAAATACGGCAATCGAGAGGGGGACCTAGTCTCTGACAGGTGCAGTCCTATCGTTTACAGGCACGATAAAATCACAATACAGATAAAAATTGCAGAAATGTCAAACTGTAGCAAACTTAGCATGTATGTCCACTCTGTCCAAAGAAAAATAAAAAATTTTGATGATGTGCGTGAAATGACAAAGACAGAATTATTGACTGCGGAAGTGTGAGTGTATGCCCGACGAATAGCCAAAATGTTATAAAATCCGGTGCTGGAACAATATCCACGGCGAAAAGTAATAGTGGTTGGTACAAGAAATAATCTGCAGACACAAATGGTAACGACACAGATAAAGTTGAAATGTCACGGAAAGTGTTGCTCACAGCCAAAGTCCACTTGACGCTCCAGTGGCCAAGTGCACTCGCTTGGCGCGAAAGAATAAGTTGCTGCGCAGCTCGCACACCTTCTGTCCTACTGAGCACCTACGTCACCACTAGGTTTACCTTCATTATAGATGCAATTACTTAAAATCTTTACTATATTAATGAAGCTGCTACCATCAGAGAAAAACAAACTCTGTCCAACGAGCCAGTGGTGCGGGAATGGGCATGATACGATGTCATCCGTGTTTTGGTCCACAACAGCCATGGCTACGGGTTAATATTTTGACCTGCTAATAATCTAAGAACAATATCGTCATAGGATTTACCTTGTTACTATCCTTTATTTTGTGCCTCAGGAGTGCTTATTTTTTAACTTTCAATCTATTAATATTGCTGAAAGTATATGACATGAAGCAGGGAGGACAGAGGTTTATGGTATATTTTGATAATGCACAGATTCCTGCATGTCCATACAGAGCTATACACTACACATGAGATAATTACAAATAAACCGAAATATGTATGTAATGTATTTTATTGCTTTTTAACAGATAAAATGACCAAACTAGTAGAGTGGTTAACGGGAATTGTCCTCATCATGGGACCCTGGACAGCTGTAGTGACCAACACTGTTAGTATTTTCTTCTTTTCCATGTAATTGTTAATAACTGGGTATAGTATCCCTGCATAATTGATTCTCCTGAAGTAATGTTATATTATATATCAGTAGTTTTGATTGAAATAGTTTTATCACATTCAGAATTCATTAGCTTAAAATACTTTTCTCATTTTTTATTCCAGGTCAAAAATGAGTTCACCGATCAATACTTTATGTATATCCTTCTCCTTCCACTTGTATTGGTTGCCATGTTTGGCTTGGTATCAGTGGCAATAATTGCACATAGAGTCTACAATTTCAATGTCTGCAATGATGCTGCTGAGGAGCTTACAAGACAGATAAAGGAAGCCAAGGAAGATTTAAAGAAAAAGGGACTTAAAATTGACTAGGGCAGAAACGGGAATTGTTGCCTTTGTGGTTGTGGTCGGAAAACTTAATTTAAAAAATATCCTGATGCATGTGTTAGAATGCAGTGCTTGATTTTATTCTTTGTGCTTTGTCTTTTTTGAATTCTCAGTCTCAACAAATAATCATCTTCAGAATATTTTTGTAAGATTGAATGATGTGTAAGAGAATTTGCTTGTTATTTATTATATGTAATTTACAATAAATTATATATTGTAAACAGATTAATTTTCTTTCCCATTTTGAATAACCTTTTAATAAATTGTATACAGATCAAACTACTGTTATTTTTTTACGATACTAATAAATACATTTTTAGATTACACTCGATTTTCCTCATAAATTAATCCAATGCCATTGGGTGGCTTGTGTATACATGCCATGGAATGATGAGTCCTTTCTAGGTGGCATATACCTGTCAAGCCTTCCCTAAGAATTGGTCACTAAACAGTTGTTCACTTGTTTGGCTAATACTATAGTCATTGAGGAGTTTAATGTTTGAATCAAATAAATGTGCTAGACAGCAAAGGTCATATAGCACTATAGTAATGTATTGGGTCTTAGAGGGTAAAGAAGAGTTAATGATTATGATAAATGTGTTAATGTGAAAGACTAGGGAGCATTATAGGATAGTATGGTAGTGAAAAGGGGAAAAGAGGGGAATAAGTGAACTAAAGCAGAGATTAGTAGAAAGGGATAGGTTAAGGAGGTAGAGCAATTGAGTGAATTATAGTGTATCTGTCACTGGGGAAGGTATAGGAAAAATGTTGAAGGAAAAATAGAGATGGTTGTTGGAAAAGTACGAGAAGAATTTGGGGAGAGGGGAAGGTGTTAAATATCCAAGATTATAGTGTGTTAGAGAAAAGTATGGTAACTAAAAGGGAAACGAGGGAAGTAAATGAAGTAGAGCAGGTATTGGTAAAATGGGAAAGGTTAAGGGGGTAGAGCGATTGAGTGAATTGCATTGTATCTGTGATTGCGGAAGGAAGAGGGACATTGTTCAAGGAAAACAGAGGTGCCTGTTGGAGAAGTTGGAGGAGAAGAATCCAGGGGATGAGAAAGGGGGACTGGGGAAGGTGAAGTATTAGGAAGAATGTCTGGAGGGGAGGGGTCTGGAGGACACGGTTGTGATAGAGGAGAATTGTACGAGTATTTAAGCAGGATCGGTAGAGAGGGTGGGGCATGTTGGGAGGGTACAGAAGGAAGGGGGGTGGAGGAAACTTGGAGGAGGAGGAGGATGGATATCTACAAATACTTTAAATGTAGGAGGAGTAGAAACAGAGGGATTGGGGGTGGGTGAGGGGGTCTTCCCTTGGGTCATCTTTGGGAAGTTTGGGATGTCTGAAAGGGTTTCTGGAAGGGAGTTGGGTGAAGAGCACTGAGAAACAAAGGTTCTCTTATGAGGAGAAGAAGAGGAGATAGATAACTGAGGAGCAGAAGAGAAAGGTTTAGGAAAGGATGTAATGGGAGAGGATAGAGTGGAGTGTTTAGGTTGCCTGATAAGACAAATAAAAGTGAGGAGGATGGTGGGTAGGTATCAGGGAAGTGTAAGAGATTGGAGTATCTGGATTTAGACTAGAAAACAAATTTTACTGGGGGATAGGATGAGTAGACATAGGATGGTTTAGGGTATAGGGGAGAGATATTGGGGGAGATGCAGAAGTATCTTGTGAAGATGGTCCGGGAGCAGAGCGAAAGACTGTTTTGGAATAAGTTGAGAGAGAAAAACCGTCGTCATGCTTCCTGTCTGGCCCCATCTAGAGTGAAGCCTAGTTTGAATCTGAGGACTGCTACCTCACATTTGAACTTATAGGCAGGGCAGCTCCTATAAAATAAATTATGGGAGTCTCCACAATTGGCACATGCATGTGACTGAGCAGGGCACTTTGAACAGTCATGACCGGGTTGGGCACATAGAAAGCAGTGGGCTGTGGAGTAACAGTGTTTGGCATTTCTGACATTGACGAGGAAAGGGTTGATGTGGTCAGACATGGTAGGGCAATCCACCATGTTTATGGAAGCTAGTCTTGGCAATATTGACGTAGGACTTACTCTGGCCTCTGGGAGGGATAGTGTAACACTGTACAGCCACTGCATGATATTCAGCAGGGCAGGTAAGTAGGTCTTTTTCATAGTCTGACCAGTCCTTGTAGATATGACAAACATTTGGGGGGATAGAAACAGTTCCATTACAAGTAATAAGAGGGGTGAGGTATGGCAGGAATGGGTTTGCCATTAATATCAGTTAGGGTAGACAGTGCCTGAGCTTGGGATTCAGATGTAACTGTGACAAGGTGTGAACGATCACAGCGACTGCTAAAGGCAACCTTGCCTACTTGTTTCTAGAGGCACTGTTGAAAGAGAAGGGTATTCTCAGAATAGGGGGCTGTGGGAGGAATCGCAAAGAATCGATTCCACTTGGTTGGGCCAAAGAGAGTACTCTGTAGGTTTGCAGAAGTAGAGGCAGAAGAAGGACGAGAGCGAGAGGAAGATGGGGTGGTGTGGAGTGGAGTAGTTCTTTGGGGGAGGACAATAAGGATCAAGAGTATTAATAAGTGAAGAGGGAGTAGACATTGAAAAGGAATTTATGGTAAATGGAGAGGAGAATGTTGGGACAGAGGAAGGGGTGCTTTCTGGAGGTTGAGTAATAACCAGGGTAGGTGTTTTGGAATGGTTAGAGTTGTTTGTAAGCGTCGAAGAGGGGGTATTATTATCAATGGTCGGAGCTGTGGTCAAAGGGGCAGAGGTTGGAAAACCATCAAAATCAAATTTAGATAAGCAAATTGGTAAAGGTGCAAGCCTTAATGCCTCTATTAAGGGTAAAGAATCTTCATTATTGGCCATGGTGAGCCTGAATGAAATGGGGAAAAGAAATGGTCTACTCCTCAGGGTCCCCATAAGGAGTAAAGGCTAGGCAATTAACTAAGGGAATACTGTGCCCATGGCTCCCGTACACTGTTCATGACTGACACAAAGCCAGACCCATCCTTTCAGCACGGCTCTCACACCTTAGGAATGGGATAGAAGAAGGGGATGAAGAAGATACGGAAGAAGACAGGAGAGAAGAAAAGACCAAGCAAAATTAATTGAGGTGAGGGCTGAGGCCTAAGGCAGGGGTTATCCCCTGCCTTGGGCCTCAGTCTCCATCTCCTAAGCCCTGACAACAATGAGCAAGGTATTGGGAAGGCGTGAGGAGTTCAATCTCTCAAAAATTGGTCTAAAATAATATTTTAGATTTGTTTTCTGGAAAATTGCATATTATGCAAGCAGAACTGTAGAGAGGGGAAATAAAATGTTTCCCATTCCTCTATTTTTTCTGTAAACTGCTGAATGCATGTGAACCAGTATAGTGGGTGTTGGCACTGAGTTAAACATGTGGACTAAAAAGAGAAAGTTGGTGTGCATACTTTCAAGGGTGAAATTAATGAGATGCATGCCTGTAGAAATAAGCCACTCCACTTACCTAGAAAGGTTATCTCAGGAGGAAAAAGACAGTTATAACCCAACTAGAAACAGGGTCTGGAAATCAAAGTTCATCTGTTCATTCTTTCTAGAAAGCAAAAGATAAAAATAAAAATTCAGAAAATTTCAAATACCAAAATTGTTCTGTCCCTTCAATTGGTAAGGGTTAGTTTAATTATGAAGGCTTGGAGTAAAACTGCACAAAGCCCTGGTCAAAAAACATACTCCAATTTTCTTGTGCTGAATTGGCAGTGATCCTCAATCCAGAGTTGTGAGCCAGATGAGGGTTGCACAATTATTTTTTTAGGAGGAAGTGGGGGGGGAATGGAGCAATAAGTAAAAAAGTTAAGGTACAAAGATGAATATATGTTTAAATTCAATTTTGTACTTATGCGATTGACAATGTAACACAATCTCCTAAAGCTAGCAAACATCTAATGTGCTTGAATTTGTCGAATATAAGTATTAAGGAGATGTCTCAACCCTGATGCTCATATAGTGAGTAACATTCACCTAATATTGTCTGTATTAGTTTGAGGGATCATAGGATGGGGTTTAGTAATACAGAGATAGCAAAAGCAGAAATGAGGGAGGAAGAGTGATACTAGTTCACATACTTTCATCAAGTAATTGATATTAGACTAGTGAGGATGTGGGACCTTTAGGAAAGTTCAGGAGGTTAAAGGCCAGCATTGGTAAAAAAGAAAAAGTAGTGGAAAAGTGCGGATATTTTACAAAATATCTCTTGAAAACATTGGTTTTCAGAACTTGTGGCAATAGTTTAGGAATAAAGCATAATTAGCATCATTATTAATATAAAGCTGAATCTGGAAGAAATAAGGGGAGCCATAAAATGTTAATCTAAAATAGAAAGAAATATTTCTTTTTTTATTTGTCAGTTCCTACTAAAAGATTCATTTTCAAATTCTGGTTCCAATTTTGTAATAAAGGATATTTACAAGAAGTGGTATCTTTCATTTTCCTCAATCATTATAAAAAATGTCAAAATTATTAATTCTCTTCTGGAATTAATCATTCCGTATAATTTATTACATAAATCTTGTTAATAGCAAAACACTGAAAATATATTGCCAAAAGCACAAACACACACACACACAAAAGTCTATGGGAATTGGACATTTCATATCCTTCCTTCTCTAATGGAAGCCTTGGATGACAAATGTAAAATTACAACTTTCTCTCAACTGCTACTGGAAATACACTTCAATTATAAATAATAAAACTCAAGAATTTGTAAAATATGTGCACAAAACTTGGGGAATGATAGAATAAGTATTAGAGCGAGACAGACTGAGTTTTGTGATGATGAAGACATGGAAGGGGTTTTCCAGTCATGGGAGGATTAAAGTGAATTATCTGTTACAAAAACAAGTCAGATCTTTTTATTGCATTTTTGTTTGTAAATATAAAAAAATCTTTGATTCTATTTTTTGTTTTGTTTAATGATTAAGAATAAAAAAAAACAATAAAAAGACATTCATAGTCTGGGCCTCTGTGTAACTTACAATAGTTTCAATACCATATTTGAATCTACCTTCCAGTAATGATAATGAAAAAATAAAATCTCCCAGAATGTAGTTTCATAACACAGATAACTTAGTTTCACTGCTAGTAGTTCTGAAGTGTATAAACCAAAGATCCTGATGTATAACTGTAAAGAATCCTTATTCTCCTTTTACTGATATCTCTTTTATGATATGCTTTAACATGGTTAACACACTCACACCACAGGCCAGTAATGAAAGATCTATAAGCTATAAGACATTATTTTATCATAGCAATAAAAAAAGCATTTCCTGAAAATTATCTAAAAAAAGATTACAAGGAAAACAGATAATTCAACAAGTAAAACAAACAAGATAAAAATTTCATGTAAATCATGGGGCAGATGAATCAACAGCCAATAATATTTTTGACTTACGAGGGCATAATACATAAAGCCCTTATAACATAAAAAAAAAAAAATTGACACTATCTATAAGGCTGTTTCATAGTCTCTGAATAAAAATCTAAGCTAAGCTTTTATTCATTAAAAGTAAAACATTAAACAGACATGTCAAATGAAGTGTACTAAACAACAACAACAATGATAAAGGCATTAAAGCATTATTTAATATGCATCTGTATTTCAAAAACAAGCATACTGTGCACCGAATCCCTTGCAATAATTCCCTATTAAAACTTTAAGCTTCTGCTACAAGTGCAATGTTTTCTAGAGTCATGTCTTTTGTAACATATTGGACTAATCGGCTCCTAAATCCACAGTCTTGTAAGAATTTGACACGACCATAATCGAGTATCTGTTTAGCTTTCCTTCCAACTTCCTCTCTATATTGGGCTGACAGATTCAATCTGGTGTAGCGGCTGAAACAGAAGGGAGAAAAATTCAATGTATCAATTCTGTGTTACAATTAAAAAAAATTGATTTACAGAATTATTTATCTTACAAAATTATTAAGATTTTCTTTAATACTTACTTCTCCACTGTTTGTTTGTCTTTGTGGTTGCCTTCCATATCAGCATTAGACAAAAGTTCTTTCTCTCCACTGACTTCTTTTTCTTCCTTACTTCCAACATCACGTGAGTTACATGTCGCCCAACTTGTGAGGGATGTTAAGGTGTAGAACTCTTCAGGGGAGAAGCCACATTCCTATCAAAAGTATATTTTAAATAAACTATATACAAGTATGTATATGTATCTCCATTTTTTTCTGCATAATTCAGTGGTATAACACATGAGTCAATATAAGATTTAGGCACAGTTTAATTTCAAAGGTACCTGCATGTGAAAACAGTAACAAGTAAAAGGATACCTATATCCACACATAAAGTAATCTAAAGAGAACCATCCTCCAGGCTATAAACCATTGGGCTTGGATGACATGACACATGCTATATATACAGTAAGTTTAATTCATTACATCTGCCAAGCAGGTTATATTTTTGGTAGCATTGGATAGATTCTTTGATTGTTCATTAGCAGGGTAACTCAAAAAGTTACAATAGATTTTTATTATTTTTTTACCAGAGGTGTCTTGTAGCCTAAATTAGATGCCATTAAATTTTGCTGGTGATCAGGATCCAGGAATTTTTAAATGATTGCATCAGCTACTCCTATTGCATTGGCAATAAGGGTTCTTATTATTAGCAAGTTTATGGACATCAGTGCAGTTGACAATGAGATGATTTGCCTTGGAGGAGGTATGTGCTTCTAGATAATTATGTAAAAACATACATGGCTCTACAAATGCTTAGTCACCAATCAGTAGTCTTATTTATCTCACCTGTTTACCCTTGCCCTTGATTTTCAGGTAGATTATTATTCTTTACTGTTGTTAGCATTTTAATGACAATATAATAATCATAATGTCAATAATAATAATAATAATAATGATGTCAACATCATTAACATTAGAAAAAAAAAATCCTGGAAATTCTAGGAATGGGGAAATCTGGTGAGGTCACACACAGCCTACTAAATTATTCCTTGGTGGCTGAGCACTTATGGAGCCATCTGTGCACAAAAAAATAAAAAAACTACAGTGGACAGTACATGTATCCATGTACAATGAGTTATGAGCAAGGTCACTAAATGTATTTTTAATTACCAATACTTTACCTGTAAGAAGTTAATGCCTACATATGATGTCCAGGTACATCGGTGATGGCAACACAGAGCGAAAGCCAAACCAGAAACAGCTGGGTCACGCAACTTTGACAGACAGTATAACGTCAGGTCTGCAGTATATAATATTACAGTTAATATCTGAGTTTGTATTCTTATTTATCTCTTCCCACTTGATCTCTGAACTAGTATAAAAACATGATTCGCATTTACAATTATATGAGAAATTTATATTTTTTCCTGTCCAATGGAAATTCAGACTGACTGGGTAAATGTTGACTAGCAGGATATGGTAAATTCACTTGCCACAGTTTGATTCTCTTCATGTTTAATTTTTACAGTCACTTTAAAGCAAAATTACAAATATAGTCATAAAGATAACATGAGTAAATATGTCATATTTCAATATAACCAATACTCTATGTCTCATATATTTAACTTACCAGTTGCACCTCCACACAAGTGCTTGCCAACACCAACAATGTGACTGTAAGATTCTATTCCTTCGATATTACTAAGATCAAGATGCTGTATATCAACCCTAATTCGACACAGTGATAATTCCTCTCTGCAAATGCCAAAATCAGTTTACAATTTAGTCTGATGGCAAAAATACAAAATATATTAATATATTTAGTGTAAAAATGTCCAACCAAGGGTCAGTATGGTTGTATCCAACCTAAAAAATTATATGATAATATGAATACTATAATATTCTACCACAGGAAAGTGATCAATCCTCACAGACCAGAAACACAAAATAAGCAAAATATCACATTCTTTAACCTACCTATACTTCAGTTTAGCATCAAATTTGTATCTCTGACTCCCTCTGTCCACAAGCACAAACATGGCCTTCTTGGTGTCAGTTACAGCTTCAGTCAACCAATGGGTAAGTTGCCCTGTAATGTCCCAGATTTATATTACAGTTCCTAGTGAAACTGAGAATGCAATGCAAAATACTATATACATAGGCATGAATATTCAGATCTAAAGTTCAATTCCATTAATAATACTGTTCTACTTGCTGAATATTATGTATTACACTAGTAAATCAATAAAACATTATTTTAGTGAAGGAAAAAACAAAATTTAAGTTAATTTGCAATGAAATCCACTGACCTTTATGGCCAGTACCAGTTACTGTTAAATCATTCAAGTATTATCATCTTACAGATCTTTAGGGAAGTTTTTACTAGTTTCCTTAGCCAGTGAATATCTAAAGAACATTCTGACAAAATACATCAAAACATAATTAAGCAATAATCAGCACTGACACCCTACCTCTACCAGCACCAAATTCAACATAACAAGTGGGTTTGGATTTTGTATCCAGCAAACCACACTGCTCCAGGTGTCCAAGCAATGATGAGTTCTGGCCTAGGTGTCTGATCACACTCAAACCATACCCTGGTGTCTTCATCTCCTCATCCAGTGCACTATGGCTTAATACTGATTCTTCTATGGTTCCAACATGATCTTATGTGGAACAGGGTGATAAAATGTTAGTAAACATTGAAAGAAAAATATATTTCTGTCAAGTAGACATGTAACTTTAAAAAATATAACACACCTTGGAATTATAGAAATCTATTAATATTTTTTTCATACTACAAGCAGATTAAAATATAAAACAAAATACCTTGATGAATTTTTTCCACCTTGGCTATGAAAGCCAGTAAGTCTTGGTCTGAGAGGTTTGATAATGGAGTTTTCGTTGGTTCTTCCTCCATGTCAGCTCTTTGATTTATGTTGCGCTTCATGTATGGAAGGTCTGTCAATTCTCTTGCATTGCATTTTAGGACATGATGTTCTACATTGTCTTCAAAGCAAGAGCTGCAATATTTCAAC